CAACTCTCCGGTACTCTCCGGCACTCTGTGGCACTCTCCTGCAACTCTCCGGCACGCTGCGGCAACTCTCAGGCACTCTCCGGCACTCTCCGGCACTCTCCGGCACTCTCCAGTACTCTACTACACTTAACAACACTCAACGGCACCGTACGGCCTTCGATAAGGCTCGGAAACACTTGAAAAGCGCGCGAAAATGATCGATAACGCTCTAAAACAGTCTAAAATAGCTCGAAGAAGCTCGATACCGCTCTGAAAATGATCGAGAAACGCTCGAAAACGTTCGAAAACGCTCGAAAACGCTTGAAAATGCTCGAAAAACACTCGATAATGCTCGGAAACACTCGAAACGCTCTAAAAACGCTTGAAAACACTCGAAACGCGTGAAAACGCTCGATAGCGATCGAAAACACTAGAATATCCCTCGATAACATTCGAAAATGCGTGAAAACGCTGGAAAACGCTCTGAAAATGGTCGAGAAACGCTCAAAAACGTTCGAAAACGCTCTAGAAACGTTTGAAAACGCTCGGTAACACTCGAAACCGGTCGGAAAACGTCTGATAACGCTAGAAAATGCAAGATGATGCTCAGAAACGCTCGATAACGCTAGTAGCGATATGTAAACATCATACGCGAAATGACTCGGCTTATATCCGCGGTTAGGTAAGCCTCGGGAGGATTTTTCGCAGTATTCGACTCTCACGCATACTCGTCGAATGTAACGCCGAGCGCACACATACTCAACGTCTCGACCCGTAGCTTGGTGCTTAGCTGGTTGGGACGCGCGAAGATTTCTAGCAGCGATCGCATTCACACAGATTCGCTGCATGAGAGTTCCGTACACGACACCGACGCGTGCCCCAAAGCTCCGCATCACCTCGACGTCGAGGCAACAATGTACTTAATAGTAGTAGATAAGTAGATAAAGTCAAATGGAGCGTCACGATTGTTCTTCCCTTACTAACAAAAGCGAGCAGTGTCAGTAAGCGTAGGTAAGCCACCACCATCAACTGCCGCATGGTATTACCATCACGAGTACGTGAGCCGCCAACGGTGACTGGTAGATGGTACCGCCATCGCCCCTATCAGAAATTCGTTACGCCGCCCTTGAGGGCGAAAAACGGTGAAAGCTAACGTACGAAACCAGAGGGCAGCACAGGATGCGATCGCACGATCCTGCCCGTGAGCAATCTCCCAACTCATCTCTGTTTACGTAGCTTATAAAAATTGTATATAAAATATAACTCAACTCTTGAGCACCCACGTTGTGGTACTGCCTGTATCATTTGCGGATAAAATATGGTAAGTGAAGGGTATAGCCAAAGAGGGCGCCACGAGTATTCTTCTCTTACCATCAAAAGCGAGCATTGTCGGAAGACGTAGGTAAGCCATCACTGTCAACTGCCGCATGGTATTACCATCACGAGTACGTAAGCCGCCATCGGCGACTGGTAGATGGCACCGCTATCGTGAGTGCGCGAGCCCGTATCAGAAATTCGTTGCGCCGCCCTTGGGAAAAATAACGGTGAAAACTAACGGTACGAAAGCAGAGGGCAGCACAGGATGCGATCGCGCAACCCTGCCTGTGAGCAATCTTCCAACTCATTTCTGGTTAAAATATTTTCCATCTTTTCAATTTAGGGATTTCTCATTTTCACTTGCAGGATATAATATTGGGTGAATAAAGTAAAGATAAAAGTGTGAGAATGAAACACCAAAAATGCCGAAATTTATTATACTTATATGACAATTCATTTTATAGATCCAATTTTCCTCATTAGCATTGTAATATAAGTCCCAACATGGCCTTAAAATATACATTTATTCGTACCAATAATGAGTACATACAAATAATTCATAATAATGTTTTGTAGACTAAACACCACATACACACTCACTCATACGCACACACATTCATTTGTCACATAAATGTAGAAGTTCACAGTAAGTAACAAATTCGATTAGTAAACAATCGTGTTCTCTAAGATCCATGAAGGTTAATGGTAATTGTATATAACATCGTTCTTTCATCACTGACACTCCATTGTTCATGCCAACAGAAAAATTTACAATCATTCCTCCAAATCTTAGTTCAACTTAACAATAATGGTCATAATACATTTGTCTATATACACTCTTATGCGCCACGTCTCCACTTTTCACCATTACTGAACTTCGTCATTTCTCGGCCACTAACTCCGCAAGTACCAATACCAACCCGACCATTTACATTCTCTGGTGTTGCAAATATACTCTTCTTTATCACACCCTTTTTGGAAGACTAGACAGAAATTGTTTTATAATATGTGTTACTGATTTGTGAATAAATTTATAAATCTAAAAAAAATGTTTTTATAACTTACTTTATTCGTAAATGCTAGCCATTTGTTCTTTTCCATTTCACGTTCTTCTTCAAGTTCCTTGAATCGTTGAAGCTTCTTCTGTTTTTTCTTTTTAAGATATTCTCTTTGCTTGTTTGGATCAGACCCTGCGACTGTTGCAGCTTGCATCTTTCTGAAAATTAACAAACCTATCATTCACGTAGATAATTTCTAACATTATGGAACATTTACTGGGATGTTTTATGTAAAATATATAACTTTGTGTAAAATTTACGGAATATTGGGAAAAATCACAATATGATAAATAATTATTATTTTGCACGTTGCCAGTGATCATATAATTGCATATGAAAATATAGAATCAATGCAAGGTTATTAAAATTACTATAATTCACACTTGAAAATAATTGCATGTATATTAATGACATCTAAGACAAACATTACAAACCCTATGCATCCACAATAACTGTATAGTAAAGGAGTAATTAATTCCTGTCTTTTCATAAATCATTGCATTGTCAAACATGCCATTATTCATATTTCTAGGATTTTTAAGAACTTTAAAAGTACATACAATTAATATTTAATAAACCTGATTCATAGGGCAATATGTTTATATAAGATCAAATTGATTACGTGATGGCTTGGATTACACTGTACGTTCATTCGTGAAGTTTCACTAATTATAATGACACTAAATATTGCAATAATAATTAAAAAAAATGTGCATTTATCAGGAAAGGAACACTGCTATTGTGTTACACTAAATTCATGGTATCCTGTTACCTTTTTCTGAATTCCGACGTTGCATGCACCGCGAAGGCGAAGATACGAATGAAAGGATTTTCAATCATACCACGAGAGGTCATCAAATACCAGAGTGAATATAAATGTCGGGAAAAGGAATGAGGAGAAGAAATACATTAGTAATAATAAATTCTAATTAAATAAATGCCCCGTTTGCATGTTAATATTATAAATAGAAAGTGATTTGATATCATAGTTTTAAGAATTTATGATTGTAAATAATAGCTTATACATTAATCTAATATTAAAAACTTACTTGGATTTTTGCTCAGCCCAGTCGGATGCAGGCCTTTTGGCTGCTGATTTTAACTGACTCAACATTGTAACATCTGTATTTTTATATTCATTAAATGTAATATTTACTACACCATCTTCATTTATAGCATCTATTGTTGCTTCATAATATCTGTAAGACGTGATCACATCATTTAATATAAGTTACCAAATCTATTATGTATTCTTTGTCAATAATAGTAAAATAACTATTAATAACTTCTAATCTATGCATTATTACAAAATGTACTCACTTGCCATCCTCGCTCCAGGGAGCCATACATTGATCACCAACTTTCCATTTATTAGCAAGTACCGCAAGTAAAATAGGATCCTTTGCATCCATTCCATTTGCTTGCCTTTTCTCTTGTTGTTGTGACTTAATTAAATCATGTGTTAATTCAATCACTTCCTCGAGATCTATTTTTAATTTCAATAATTCCTCATTTGTTGGATCAGTTGTAAGGGCTGCCTCCACCTAGAGAAAGCAGAATGTGGTAAACGAATATGTATCCATATTATTGATAACGTAAGGTAGAATTCACCAAAATATCTAAATATTAGACTATATACAATAAACTATTCCTTTTATACAATAAGGTTAGGAATAACAGGAGTCGTACTTGTTGGAGCTGCAGCTTATAATTTTGCAGGTCATCCATGATGAATTGTTATTCGTCGAATAGGCAGCCCAAAGTTATCTATTCAAATCACAAATTCTGTATAAATAGATTATGATTATTTATTTTTATCTACTCAAAAACTAGTCGACAACACAAACGCTTGCTTGGGCAAACGTTTGTATGTGTACGTACATACGTATGCTGTATGACGCACATACCAATTGTACCAACGTTTACAAGGTAGAAACCAAGGATAAAACGAGGTCAACTGTGCAATTGTATTCTTGTGCTGCCTTCATGCGGATTTTACAGGCAGTTAATACATTTACATGCGCCATCTAGTGTGAACGTATAACAACATATATATTGAAATGCTTAAAAGGATACTAAATCTTCCTACTATTACCTATTCCTACTATTAATAGGTGATTTACGAGTTCACAAAAAGGGGATTATTTTCTTTGATAAAATGAAAAATACTTTTCCAAAATGATAGATAACTAGCAGATTAATTGAATGATTATGCAAATCATACTGAAATCAAGAAAAATATAATAATGTACTGATTCTATTACCATCCAAACTGTCACTAGCAACAAATCTATACCCAAATAAAATCACTGTAACATTCTCGGTTATATTACTTGAACTTAAATTCTCGAGAATTTAAAAAAGTACCTGTAATGGTTAAACGTATGCAAGAGTATTTGGCGCGAAACTTTATTGAGTTTCCTAATCTTTGAAATTCTATGATATATTTCGAAACTGTTTCGTCGAATAACATTAAAACTGTCGTATGTTTTATTGCTGCTTGTGTGGTTAACGCACGCGATATATCTTCGTGAATCTATATTACCATCGCGGTGATATAATTTGAGTGTGGCTTAAGTGTTACAGATGGCGACGTAACACGGAATTTAAACTGGATTACACTATACAAAGATAAATCACACAATGCTATTGTAATCGATGTTAACTAATAGACAATAGTATGGCATTCGTAGAATAGAAGTAAACACATTCTATGGATATTTAGGAAACTACGAACGACTTCAATTTTGATTCTTTAAGAAATATAGTAATTTGATTCCTGAATGAATAGATAAAAACTATTTCTTGTTTATTCATTACACTATTAAAAATTATGAATTACTCTTAATTTCACAAAATATCCTTTCACGCTTGGTGCTTGTTATTTTTGGCATAATTATTTTTATTTCGTTTTAAATGTCAATAATTTATTGAAACACACAACGTTGAATGTAAATAGTATAGTACTATAAAACTAAAATTTACGCAAACTGTGTCAATATTAAAACCCAAAGATGAATGTAAACAATAATTAACGGCGAAGAAAGAATTGGGATGAATATCAATAATAACGAGCGGCAATTTGAAAGTCAACTTCATCAAATCAGAAACACAGTCATTATTTGACTTTTTCGGCAACAAATTGAAATTAAATAATACTAATGGAACAGTTAACACAAATTGTATTAATACTAAAATACAAAGATAAATGTAAATAGGAATTAACGATATAAAAAAGTGTTTCCCTTCCCTAAACGGATGCCATTCATAACATGACATGTACTACGATGCCATGAGAAGTTTTATTTAAAAAATATTGTGATTTTATACAATCTACTTGGAAGATTTTTTGCACATGGTACACTAATTTTATAACATTTCATATGTTATAAAACTTACGTTATAAAATTATGTAACTATCTGAGAATTTATAATAACTATGTATTAATTTACTTCTTAGAAAATTAAATTTTTAATTTTTGTACACCCTTATATACTAAAGTTGTATGAATTTTGTGAAAATCTTTAACAGCATAGTCAATTCTTCGAACCAACACTGAATATCACAGATTTCTAGTGTACGATCAATGGCTTCTGTTAATTGTTCTATATATAAATGATTGTACTTATTATAATGTTTAGCAATTATTATGGAAAACGCAATGCTTCACTGCTTAAGGCCCGTGAACGATGAATTTCGAAATAGGAAGCTGACCCTATGGGTGCCTCATTCAGAGCAATCGGTTACGATTAGGCCTTGAGCGAGGGAAGAGTTGCGAGTTGCGGTGATACAATTTCCAAGGTACGATTTCAAGGCAACCGTGTAATTAACGATCCGAGCACCAACCAACGCCCGTTGTACGTTGGTTCTTTCCAGAATGTCATCGCGACACTGTGACCATAAGTAATAACGGCTTTGAGAATCGCGGCGCAACCTAACCCACCTGTAATTGTATGGTTAATAAAAATTTATCGCTACCGGTGTACATCCGTGCGCTAAAATGAGCTGTTTCGTAATTGCCTTTATGGAGCTTAACCGACTGACCAATGCGAACGTCTCTAAGCGACTGGTTTGTATAAGCAATTCCGAAGATGCAGCTGTACGTTTAAAAATAACAGCTCAATAAGATTAGCTGGATATAATTATGTGGTAATCACAACATTGAAAAGGTAAATAATGTACTCGACCAATTGGCGAACATTTTCAAAATGCAAGAAATTCTCCTTGAAATTCGACAAGTCTTTATAAAGATATAATATAAGATGTCACAATTCAAGATAAAGGATTCGGTGCCTTTAATTATGAGATATAATCTTATGGTTTACATTATTACCTCGATGTAAAGGATACACTTTGCGATTGTTCAAATCCGAGCACAAAAGCTTCAGTATTCGACCATGTAATTCGTTAAATGCATCGAACGGTTTCGGTTTCGTGACCTCCGAATGTCATTGCAGGGTGATAATTGATCATGGAATTCTCGTAAACGGATTGACTTGTATAGCGTCAAACTGCAGTGAATCTAATGACACGTAACAAACATTTCGACTAGTTAGAGAAAGAACCGCCGGTCGCGTTCGGTCATCCAATTTGCGAAGTAATTAGTTATACGCCACATGTACTTGTGCCGGGTGCATTTAGTAATTACAACCGACGGACGAATGCGTAATTGATTGTCGAGTGCGAATCCCAAGTGAGATGAACGGGCAAGTCTTTAATGGATTTATTTATCGATAAATATTACCGCATTCATTATCTTCACATCGGAGTATCATCCGTAACACAGAAAACCGGAAATTATTTATCTTTCGAACATTATTTAGTCATCGATCAAAACGAAACAATTGATTCTCAGTGCTATCGCATTCTGTCGCAAGCATATATATTTGCTTCTTCGATTAACATAGATATCGTACATTCCTCCGGGAGGTAGATACCGTGTTCATAAATATATAGCATTTTATCATTAGTACATAATCAGGTACTTTCATGCGACTTTAGCTTAAACATTAAATAATACATCGAGACGAGTTATACAAATTAAGGAAAAAAATTAGACTTTTCATAATCAAATTCCTAATACAAGGACCTTTATGGTCGATTTCTTGAAACAACTAATCTTATTTCTACATGACACAAGCTAAATACGGACAGGAAATAATTATATGTAATTTATATATAATATTCATGTCATACATAATATCATATATTAGTACAAGCACTGAATACTCGATTTCAAAAATCATGTCATATTACTGCTCAGGTACGTTTTAGAATGTTAAAATTATAGCGATTCATTTGCATAACATGTTCGTAATTATGCGGTTAAAATTAATGATTTCCGATCCCAATATCTGTTATAACTACTAGGTTTTACAACGGTAGATTTGTAGATATGCCACATAATAAAGAATAGATTTAACGGTGCAGTAAACTCCCCTTTTCGCGTACGCTCGGTATCGGCCACTAAGATTTCGCTTTCTCGAAGAATTAGTAACGTCGAGGACGTTTTCCGAGGTGATAAGGAAATAATGTCCATTGTGTTAATGAGTCATGCAGTCACGCCATCGAAGGTGAGACCGGAGAAACGGAACGATGGAAGCCTGACGCAACGAAAATCGACTTAATATCTATCGGTGTTACATCATACGTTCAACGGCAGGCAACCCAGGTGCACGTATACATACACGCAATACAAACACCTATATGTCACCAAGGAGTCTACGGATTGCTTTGTTGGCTTCGTGATGAATGAAAAAAAAAGAACTTTCAGACAGTGACTAAAGTGATTCTCGTCGATGATCTCCGCACGAAATTATATTCAATATGTTCCACCTATCATAATTAATTAATTAATTCAATATATATTCTACGAAGACCTACACCTAAAAAATATTGTATCAATACTAAGACAATAAAAATTCATTCAATAATATAACTTTCATGCGTATGAACATTATTCTTAAAATACTTATTTAAGCGTGGAAATATATTTAAAATATGTATAGTTATTCACATCAGTTAATCCATGTTTTTCTACATTTTTCGTTAATTTTTCTTTATATCTTCTCTTAATAATCGAAGGTTACGATAACATGAGACATTCAATTATTAAAAGAAAAGGACACCAACATTTTTTAAAATGAAGGAAATAGAGATAAACCAACGCAGATAATTATAAACATGGGAAAATATACTTGACCTCCTCGGACTCAGTTTTCAATCCCGAGATTTGAAGACGCGTGTCTTGGAATATCGGGAAAGTATCATGTCTGATATAACGAGGAAAGAGCTTAGCGTACTGTGTACCGGCAGCTTCGAATAGAATAGCCAATACTAGCCAAACTTTCGTTATTTTATGAGTCTATGTACATGAAATGAGTCAAGATGCCAGAGATTCTGTTGTCTGTGTGCCCCGGAGAGAAGATCGTATTCCGCCACGAGGCACGTGCACACATGTAGATGTATCCTTCGGCGTGCAGCGATAGCTACAATCCAGATAAGATGTCTAGTTACAGTGCCTCGATATTTTTCGTATCTAACTACTATATTTAAATATTTTCACGATTAACGTATCTCTATTTATAGGCATAACGAAACTAGTTTACTATGTGGATACATTTACTTCAGATATTTTTCTCGGTCTGATTTGCGAGTCAGAAATTACCTATTCACTTGCTTGTATGATAAATGAGGTAAGTCGATGACTAATGCTATACTTCATATTAAGCATCGGCATAATTTATGCCATTTGAATAGTCTACGTTCCCGATAATGAGTCTTTTTACAATTGATACCTAATAGATATGCATTGAAATAAATCGGCACGTTTAAATTATGCCTTGTAAAGTGTTTCATGA